CTTACACATTTTGCACTTCTATATGCATCAGTTGCAGCCCTAGCCTCACAAAGTCATTTGAAAGGTGTGCAGCTGACAAGGCCCGTGCCATAATTATACTTTCACCAAAAGGTGATAGGTAAGTATTTTGAACAAATATTTTTTTAGAGCATCTTGTTATTTACACAATTTCTAATTTTAAACTAGATAGCTGTTATTCACAAGAAGGCATCTTGCGAAGCTCAGACCTAAACAAGCCAGCAACCAACTTATGTCATGTTTTGATTTATCAGGTATGAGGTTGATACCAATGCATTCCTGTCAGTGCTAGCCCTTCAGCCTATTGCAAACATGGAATCTATCCCCACTGTGGTTGAGGTATGCTAACTGCGGATACTGCCGAGTGAAGATTACTGGCCAGACTGTAGTAAAATTTGTCTTGGCTGTTAAGTGCAGGTTTCAAACTCAACTACTTGTGAACTCCTGAAGTCAATTTCTGGATTGAAAGTAGAGCCAGTGGAAAATGTTGCATCAAAACTGTTCGTTCAATGCTCTAGGCAGAAGGGGCTTATAAAGATCTACAGACACTTGCTCAATTACCGAAGTACGAGAAAACCTTTTCTTAAGAAGCAGTCATTAACATGATCACTAAGAGACAAAGATTTGCCTGATTTTTATCTTCTTGCATTTGTAATTCATATATTTTGAACATTTCTGCCTGTCGAGAGCACTAGATGTCAAGCGAAAAATGTTCCTGAAATGGATTAACAAGATTGTCAGATATAGGAAATGTGAGGCTTAGTAAAAATTAATGCTGCTTTTTATATCCTGTATGGGTTATACACACGGATGCTGTACCTAGTTAAAGTTTAAGGTTCATGGGTTATACACACGGATGCTTTTTATATCCTGTACTTACTTGAAAAACTCGTATCTTCCTTTTTGGTTCATGTGGACCTTTTACTACCTTCTGCTCTTGTTTACCCCCTTTATGGTCCTTTGAAAGACGCTAACTGTAATTTGTTAAATCAATGCAGAAAACGTATTCAACCTTTGCAGTTTACCTACTCTAGAAGGAGTTAGTTATAGGCAAGTAAGACGTTACTTGCAAGAGGTAATGCCATTAACCAAATATAAATTTGTTATTATTATTATTATAATATTATTATTTGGAAGGGAACTCTCTGTTTTCTGAATGAAGATACTTTTCAGGTTGTTGTTTGTGGTCTTTATCGAGACGGGAAGCTGTACTTTCATCCCAATGATGAGGAAATCCTACTGCAAACTGATAAAGTACGTGACATGTCTTACCACCTTTTTTGGAACCCCAATTTATCATTTCCTTTTGGGTGCAAAGGACATGAATTCATGTCTAGTCACTCGATAACCATATAGGTTCTATATAATGGCCAGTAGTGACTCCGAAATTCCTTGATCTACTCTGAAATTTATTTGTGCTTTGGTGCACGTATATCGTTCTCCATGGCGTAATAGTTGCCGACGATATAATGGCTCATGTGGGACTTATCATTTTTATTTTTGTTTGGTGTTAAATGATATTCTCTCCTGTGTTAGTATTCCATACTTGGATAATTTTTCAGATTGTTTTCATTGTCAGCTATAGAGCTAATCATATTTCACTTAGACTGGTACTTCAAATATAGGAAACTGTAGAAACCTATATAGGAAACATAGAACTACTCTACCAGTTTGGTTGAAGGAAGCTGGTTTACTCATACTACTAAATTCAGTGTGTGCTCTCGCTGACATTACTTTTTTGTATCCTCAAATTTCCATTTTCCCTCTTCTAGATTTTGTTCATAGGACCTGTTCATGGCAGAAAGAGGCCACAGATTGCAGATTCTGAAGTTCTGAAAGAACAAACTGCTAGTAAAAGTCTGGAAGTTATGGAAGAGGATGGTGATAACTTGAATCATGCTGTGGAGTTGATGAAAACAAGACTCAAGAATACCGTAAAACGTCCCACTAAATCAGGGTCGAAGGTATCTATCTTCCTTAGAAATAAGCTGGATTGACATTCTTCTCCGCAACAAAACAGCTTTTCATTATTTACCATTCAAAGCAGGCATCAGACTTGACACTTGGGCCGACAGAATCTATTCTCTTACTTGGCTGGCGCCCGGACGTCATTGAAATGATTAAGGAGTATGACAACTATCTTGGTCCTGGGAGCACACTGGTAAGCTTTATTGGGCCGACCTGAATATTTTTTTGTGGTAATTTCCGAATCTGAGATCTACTAAACAACTTGATTTATGAAAACGTGTTGTGCTTCCTGAACTCTCCTTGTTGCATTTGTCTATGCTAAATAGATTCTGGCGATCAGTTTTCCTCGTTTATAGCTATTATGACGTTGATTCTGGCAAACCTTTTATCTGTACCTCTTCATGCCTTATTTCCTCTCATCGTCTTCCTATCAATAATGTCAGATTTGGTATTAAGGAATTATAGCGTCTAATATCAACAATAAGCTGGCTGACTCATAAATCATTTGTACAAGCAGGAGATACTATCAGAGGTACCATTAGACGAGAGGATGAGGGCAAGTAATATTCTTAAGCTAAAGCCTGGAACACTCAACCATGTCAAGGTCTCCCATAGGGTACTGTAAAAAATGCATTTCATCCGAGTATTATGAACCTCTCATTTTCCTTTTCTCTGTTATGTTTCTAAAAGGATATAACTTGCAGGGGGAAGCCTTTCTTATTCTGATTTTTGGGGTCTTTTTCAAGTTGTGCAGGTTGGAAACCCCATGGACTTTGACACATTAAAAGAAACCATAACCAATATCCAAAAATCTTATAAGCAAGGGAAAAGTGCTCCATTGTCAATTGTTGTGATTTCTGATAGGGGATGGCTTGCTGGAGGTATGCTAACCTGATTGCATCGTTGAAACTTGGATAAGTCACTCTCAATGCTAACTTTCCTCTCTTTCAGATGCATCCAGGGCAGACAAGCAATCTGCCTTTTCTCTTCTCCTTGCTGAAAGAATCTGCAATAAACTCGGGGTTAAGGTGATTATTATTCATTCTATCATGGAGTCAATAAGAGGCTTAGTTAATACTGTTTTTTGCTGTTTCTTCCTTGCGAAGAAGAGTCTCAAGTGACGAAAGCATAAATTTTCAGGTACAAAATCTCGTAGCGGAGATTGTCGACTCAAAGTTAGGCAAACAAGTAAGCCCCTTCTGATGAACAAACTGTTGTCTTTGGGTTTCATGTTTTCTGGATGAACTTACAGGTTCCATGTGATGTTACAGATTACCAGAATAAAGCCTTCGTTAAACTATATAGCAGCGGAGGAAGTGATGAGCCTTGTCACAGCCCAAGGTTTTGTTAAATCATCATTCATCATACTCCTGAACATCCAATGTTGGGAAAAATTTCTTGTTAGTTTTATCATGGAGTGAATGAGACTATTTCTTCGCGTTGACAGTGACGCAGAGCAATGAACTAAATGATGTGTGGAAAGACATTCTGAACGCGGAGGGGGATGAAATATACATCAAGGTAGTCAAACACCATATCTCCTCTATTTATGGACTCTCAAGTTTTGGATAACAGCCCTTGAACGAATAATAACCATCTGCATTGCTCTGTGGTTGGTTGCAGGATATAAGCCTTTACATGAAAGAAGGTGAGAATCCTTCATTTGCTGAGCTCGCCGAAAGGGCACGGTTGAGGCGGGAGGTTGCCATTGGATACCTTAGAGGCAACAAGAAGGTAACAGATGGATAACCAACCAACCATATGCGCCATGGGACATGTTTCAAATACCAGCATTCCTCCTTTTGCAGGTCATTAACCCGATTCCGAAATCACAACCGCTCTTCGTGGCACTGACGGACTCATTGATAGTCATATCGGAGCTCGAAGGAGAACAACCTATCGTAGTGTAGTATTGCATTTGTAGGGTTTCATTGGCTTTTGGCCAAATAGAAAAACCTTCCCTCCAATCCACAATCCAGGCTTTCTTCCATGGAAGAGCTGATCTACCCTTTATGTTTGACGGAGGAATCGAGAGCATGGAAGCTTGCCCATGTGGCAACTGGAGCCTGCTGATTTTGATATGCACATCTTTGCTGAATGGATAACAGACCAGCACTGTGAATTCTGAGACCTTTCCCCCCCCCCCCCCCCCTGTTTTTACCAGTACAGTTGAAATAGAACTTTAGAGGGTAAAACTGTAAAAAGGAAAATCACAGGTAGAAATGAAAGGTTGTTTCGTGTACACTCAATGTGATCTTCATTTAAAAGGCGACTCCGAGAATTTAGGAGCGAGGAAAACAAAGGCGATTGGGGTTTGCGCAGGTCGGCGATCGCCGGCTTGGTGTCATGGCGGCTGCTGCGCCGTCAGCCACCTCCACCATTGGAGGAGAGCCTAAACCCCCCGACCCCACTGCCGGGATCCGTCGACCACCGAAGATCTCCTCCTCGCCGGACGGCAAAAAAGCTCAGGAGGAACAACACCCCAGAAAAAAAGTAAGGCCTCTGTCTTTCACCGAAGGCTCATGCCCTATGGACGAGGTTATTGTTGAAGATATCACCCATGAGGAACAGCAGGAAGCGCAGCCAACTGTGAGCCCCAGAACCATGGAAACCGAGAATCAGCCTAACATGGAGAAGGAAACCCCAGCCCCACCCACGAAACCATCTGCATGGGGAGAAGGGAGGAAGAAATTATTCAGTGAAGCAGTGAAGGAGGTGGAGTGGTATGTTGCCGAGTCTGACTCGTAGGATATAGCTGAAGCGATACGGGAGGAGGATAATGAGGATGAGGACCTGGAAGATGAGAATCCCTTATGCCCAACTATTTCCTTCTCTTCGTTCGAGTGGCGCAAGTACAGGAGAGAATGGAGATCTGCGATCGTTGTTAAAGTCTTGGGACGTTCCTTCCCCTACCCGGTTATAGCGCGACGTTTGAATATGCTGTGGGCACGAACGGGTATAATCCAGGCAGGTTACGAATCGCGGGCATGGATATTATTTTTTGAGATTCAATTGACTATGAGCATGCCCTGACGGGAGGCCCATGGATGATCGGCGATCACTACATTACAGCTGTTCCGTGGAGGAAGGGCTTCAACCCCAGAGCTCATTCCATTACCTCGACGTTGGTTTGGCTCCAGCTGCCGGATTTGCCAATCGAATTGTACCACCCTGAGGCAGTCCTGCGTATTGCTAGTCGAGCGGGGAGACCTATACGCTTAGACCGGGCAACTGCGACAGGCGCAAGGGCGAAGTTTGCCCGAGTCTGTGTGGAAGTCGATTTGACCAGGCCGTTGCTATCAAAATTCAAAGTAGCGGGGATCGAGTATGAGATTAAGTATGAGGGACTGCATAATGTGTGCTTCCAGTGCGGACGGTATGGTCATAGCCTGGCCAGTCGCCCGAATAATCATTCTGATAGGTCCCAAAAAGAGCCGGGAACTAGCAACGACTCTACCCATACACGACATGAGGAACAATATGGTGACTGGATGATAGCTAAGCGTAGAGACCGAAGACCTTACCCCAAGAAAACTCAGGTGGACGGGTCACGGGAGACTTCTTCCTCCCAACGACCACCACAAGCCCAGGTCGTAGGCTTCCGCTTTGCTGCGCTAATGGAGGAGGAGGAGGAGGAGGAAGGTACGGACAACCAACCAGTGAACCGCCACTCCAGCTCACAAGACACCCAAGCTACGCGTAAGCCAGACCCGCCTCCGCAACGCCAAGTGTGGAGGGAAAAGACTACCACCCATGCTGCCCCGAAGGAGATATCCACGAACACGGTGAGCTGCCATAGTCCTGAAATACAGTTAGATGCTGCCATGCAAAACCATGCACATGACGTGACACGTACTGAGCCTAAAGAATCAAGGGATAGTGGGAAGGACAAGAACAACATCGAGGAAATGAGCAATAGCCTGCAATGTGTTACTAGGGAGGAAATGTCCAGTCGATCCAATGTGCTCCCCTCCCCCATGGAAGTCTCTGACCAACCCCAATGGCCGGCGAAGCCACCAGAACCGCCCTCGGACAATGGCCAAAAGCACAGCCTTTCGCCGCCGGTAGGGGTAAAACAGAGCATGAACGCAGTGGATGTCCTACCTCCAGTTGACCAAGCAAAAGCGAGTAGCCGAGTAGAGAGCACTAATGGGGGTTCCCTAGCCGTAATGTCCCAACCAGCCCTATGATAGATACACGGCTCTTTGTGTGGAACTGTAGAGGGGCAGGAAGTGACCGCTTTGTGCGAGTTTTCAAGGAGTACTAGAAACAATACCCACGGCTACGCCGCGGGAACAATTAATCGTATTTGGCATATTTAGAAGTAGTATACTCATTACGAAAATAGTTAGAAATTATAAAGCAAGTATAATTTTTTGTTTAATTGGTTTCTTGTCATGCAAGAAGTTGGAAAGAGTTGCCTGAAGGCTCATGTAAGCTTTTAATTAGCTGGTAAGTTCCATAGTGAACCTACGCCCAAGGAAATATCTCTTTACAGACTGAACTCATTATGAAGTAATCTTAAAATTATGGGGGAAAGTCACAAAAGTACTCTTCCACCTAAAAAAATGTTATTTGCAATAGTGGAAGTAAACAAATAAAAGGTGCTCCGAATTTGTTATCATTGTATCAACAAAAATTGTTAGTTTATATAATTCAATTGTAATACCCTATCTATTTATGATCTCTCTATGGAGAACAAAAAAAGAGAACTAAGATTCAATGTTTACTAAAGAGAACTAAGGTTACTTTGCTCTTTCATTCAAAAGTCTACAAAACAACACAACCTTTATAGCCGATGAGTCAAACTAACTAAAACATCATAGTAAGTAATGGAAGTCCAAGCTAGACTGCATACCTGCCCCACAAACCAAACCCACATTAACACTACACAACAATGTACAGTTTAGGGAAAATTATAACTAAAACAACCGAACTATAGTCACTAACATAATTTAGTTATTAAACCAACTACCATAAACAAAGCAACATATTGCTCATAATCCATGGCTGGCCAGTTTGAAAACCCCATACCTCCAGAACACGTAAAAACAAATGAATTAAGAGAGTGAGAGGGTTGGACGCTCCTCTGTGTGCTCATACTGAAAAGAGCGTGGTTCTATACACAATAAACAGCATGGCTGTACAAAGAGCCACCATCAAGGGAAGCTACGTACCCTTGAAAGTTGAACCCTCATTGCCACTGCATTTGCACACCAAAAAATAGAAAAACAATTAAGAAAAATGCGGAAGAAATCAGAATCAATATTTCTTTCCAAAATCCATTGGTTCCCATTCCATTACCCCATCAAATCTGGTGTTTCTTTTGAGTGATTCCATGGCCTGAGAGGCGTAATTGACAGCCAGCCAGTCTCATTCTAGATTGGCCTTTCCCACCCCTGTTGATGTTGTGCAGCGACATAAAAGAGAAGAATCTCAGAATGAAGAGTAGGCTTGCTGATGGTGATCCAACAGCATTTCTTCTGCCATCTGCAGAACTGAACATTGTTTAATAGCAAGCAAAAACAAATGAACTTGTCTAACAAACTACTTAACCACGCAATTGCAGGGATTTCATGATGACAGCACAGGTCAAGAGGAAAATTAACTAAAGGAAGTGCACAGTTTCAATCTAATGTGTTATTCAGATTTGGTGCTTCACTCTTAATTGCGCAATCATACTTCTAATCATAGTAGAAACTACAGGGATAAAGTTGTATCATAAGTTCTTTTAAGATTCTAAAAGGATGTTACGAAGCACCAACAGGTGAATCTTACCCCTAGCTTCTCTAAGAATCATATAACAATCAGTGTGTAAGCATAACAAACATAGAATTAGAGTTGCAGTTCAAGAATCAATGAATCATAAACATAAACAGTGTGATTGGCAATCATACTTCCAGTCACATACTAACCAACTACATCATATTGAAATTCAAGAACTAATTTTCCTTCACAAATCATGTCCTCCTGCACACAGCAGGCTTACTGAATGGACAGGTGGTTATTACTCTTTCCAACTATATGCACAGTTATACAAATACCAGATGATTGTATGGTTTTCTTTGTGTCTAAACAAACTCTCATTAAACAGTCTAGCCCAATAATAATGAAAGGTTAGTGCACCAAGCAAGTTTTTCTTGTTCTCTTCTTCGCAGGCTCAACTTGTTTCCCATTGCAAATTCATTTTATAGCTGGTAAACCCATATAAAAGAGTTTTAAGGAAAAGAAAACCATCAGTAGATAGTTGAACACATAAGAGACTTACTGCGCATAGTTTGTAACCAAAGAGAGTGAAGTCCTGTTGCTATACCCGGGCAGCATTTTTAGTCTGGTTATCGGTTCTCACAGGAAACTATTGCAACCACAGATCTCATGGTAGCTGAACTGCTCAAATGCAGCTGTTCTGGTGTTCTCCCACTTCCTGTAGCAACAGTGCAACACAACATGACAAACTTTGTTAGATTATGAACAATCCATTCAAGGAAAGGGTATATCCAATATAAAAGACAGAACCAAAACAATTTTGAAGGACCCATTCACTCGATTCGGAGAGATTGGGCAGCGAAAGCATTGGAAAAATCTTCTCCCAAATTGGTAAAGGAAAAAATCCCTAGAAATGAAAAGAATGAAGGGTAAGAGAAACAACGATGAGATATATTTAAACGAATGGAAGTTGTGGAGAAAGCAAAACATAATCCCAACTCTCTTGTTCCAGTCCAACTGGTAGCTACTCGCAGGATCTGGCCATCGAAATTCATCAGCAATTCATCAGTAAAATTCGAAGCTGGGGTGGCTCTCATGGGCGTCGGTACGAATTCTGGGTTTTCGGGTGGTTAGTCAGATTCCATGGGAGTGGTTTCCCATAAACTCTTCCCAGCGTTACTACCCTTATTCCTATACCACTCGAGATGTCATCTCGCGTCTTCCTCCTCGAAGTCAAACTCCACACCCAGCGGCACGATATCATCCTGACCTAAACAACGACGCCGTCGGCTGCTGATCCGTTACACTGCCGTCGACGATAACTTGAGATCTAGTCGTCGTGACCTCAAATGAAGCATCTAGATGCATCTGTCGATAATGATTGCCGAACCGGAGAACTGGGGGTGATGAGTGAAGTCTAATCCTCCTAACGCTGCTTCCGTTGCTATCAAAGAGGCAACGGTTCATCAAAAGTCGTCGCTCAGAGGAGGAGGAGATGGTGGTGCAGGTTGACTCCAACGACGACAGATTCATCCGCTGGCGACAGCCCTTGAATGCCATAGAGGAAGGTCTCTGAATCCTATCACTGAATTACACGACGAAGCTTCCCTGAGGACATCCAGACCTATTTCTACTGGTAAGATTCACGGTGGTCAGGCGATGGGTGGAAGAAAGGGTTGGCTGAAGAGCAGGTGAGGAAATTGAGAATAGAGAAACAAAGAAATAAAATAGGAGTTGTAGCTGAAATTGTGATGGTCAGCTAGAGAAGAGAAGTCTCTCTCGATCCAGAGGAGTAAAGTGAGGACCGTACAAATGCATGGGCGATGGCGTGTTTAGCAGCTGTAGCTGTGAAGAGTTCGCCACTTAAAGAAGCAAACAGGAGTTGTCAGATATGATTGAATTGCAGATTTTGGGACTGAGGGTGAAAGGAAGGGGAAACAGAAGCATGGGCTGCTGCGAGGGTGGGTAAAATAAAGTGGAGAAATTTTTGGTGGAGCCAGCTGCGCGTAGAAGCCTAGAAGGTTTTTCCAGAGCTGGTTGAAGAAGGTTTTTCACAACACGACAAATAATGAAACAGTAGAGAAAATTTTGGGCCAATAAAGTGTAGTCTGCTATTATATATAAGATAAAGATAATAAACGGAAACACAACCCGAGCATTGTAGTCATCGTAGAACCAAAAATTAGTGGGGCACGTGCTCGCGAAATCATAGGCAAGATGGGGATGGAGGAAGACCTGGTTGTTGATGCTGTGGGCTTTTCAGGTGGAATATGGTTGCTATGGAATTCCTCTTGTATCACAATTGACGAGAAAGACAGGTCGTCCCAACACCTGCACGTTTCAGTGGAACAGGGCTCTATGAAATGGTACTTCACTGCGGTGTATGGGACCCCGACTCTTATCCAACGTCGGTCACTATGAGCATCTCTGAAGAATATTGCGGAAGACATGACGGAACCTTGGCTTGTAGCTGGGGATTTTAACTCGATACTTCATGCCACGGAGAAATCAGGTGGAGCCCCGTTTGACGCAAGCAGGGTTAGAAACTTCCAAGAGTGTGTTCTGGACGCGGGACTAATCGACCTTGGGTATTCGGGGCCACCTTATACGTGGTTCCATGCAGGCACAAAGGAACGTTTGGATAGAGGAATGGGGAATAATGCCTGGCAATCCGCGTTTCCTGAGAGTTCGGTGCAGCACTTACCAAAGATCAAATCCGATCACCGGACTCTACTCTTACACACTGCCGCGGCTCACCAGCCGGCGGGGCCAAAACCATTCCGATTTCTAGCGGCCTGGCTACTTCATGACGAGTTCGCAGAAATGGCGGAGCAGGCCTGGTCGCAAGGAACAGATCTCAGAAGCTCCATCGACGCGTTCACAACGGCAGCAAAGCAGTGGAACCAACACACGTTCGGGCATATTATTAAAAAGAAAAACTCTTTACTAGTCAAGATTGAGAGATTGGAATTGGCTGGGGGAGGGGATTCCGATTCCCCGTTTTTGAAGCAGTATCGCCAAGAACTTGAAGAACTTCTCCTCCAAGAACAGATCTTATGGTGTCAAAAATCGAGGCTTGACTGACTCGCACAGGGGGACAAGAACACCAAGTACTTCCATGCCTGTACGGTCCAGCGAAGAAGGAAGAATCGGATCACTATGTTGAAGAACGAGGCTGGAGACTGGGTGGAAGACGATCAGCTGCTGCAGGATATGGCCAAAAACTTCTTTCAACTCCTGTACACTGATGAACCAGGCCATCTTGAGAACCTGCCGGCTTTATTCCCCACCGGGACAACGGATCTTTGAGAGAGCCTTTCGGGGGCTTTCACGGAAGAAGAAGTACGAAGATCAGTCATGGGAATGGGTGCGCTCAAGGCTCCAGGAACGGATGGCCTGCTTCCGATCTTCTTCCAAAAATTTTGGCCAATGGTGGGAGGACATGTAACTCAATTTGCCCAAGAATGCTGGAATGATCCGACGAAGATTAAAATGGTGAATCAAACCATCCTGTGCTTATTCCCAAAGTGCACCGCCCGACCCTGATAGAGCAGTACCGTCCAATCAGCCTGTGCAATGTAACGTACAAGATCATAATTAACCAAATGTCTGCCGGAGCGGCTGAAGACCTGGATGCCAAGACTGGTGGACGAAACCCAAACAAGCTTTGTTCCTGGGCGCCATATTACTGACAACGTTTGTGTTTTGCAGGAAGTGGTACACTCGATGCGAGCTAAAACGGGGCGCAAGGGGTGGATGATCCTCAAAATTGATCTGGCAAAGGCATACGACCGCATTAAATGGCCGTTTATGCAGAACACACTAGAGGCAGCAGGGCTCCCGGAGGACTTCGTTGCTCTGGCAATGCAGTGCATAACCTCGTCTAGTATGAGCATTCAGTGGAATGGTGGGCTCTCTGATAGCTTCTCGCCATCGAGAGGACTGCGCCAGGGCTGCCCGCTCTCACCATATTTGTTCACTCTATGTATGGAACGACTAAGTCATCTAGTGAAGATGACAGTAACGACAGGCGAGTGGAAAACAGTCAGGATCTCGGCAGATGGGCCAGCATTGTCACACTTATTTTTTGCAGATGATCTGATTTTGTTTGGCAAGGCATGGTTCACAAAAGTGTATTAATTTCAATGGTTATTTACTTGGTTTTTGTGTGCTTACATGCCATTGGAGATTTGCAAAATTGCTACAATTCGATGCAATGTTCCAACTTTTTTAATAAGCACATCACTCACACAAACACACTTCTACATGAAACACAACACTCAAACAAAACATAACTTGAAATAAACACAACTTGTTTAACTTAACTTAAACAAAACATAATTTGAAATAAACACAACTTGTCACACTCATGCATTAGCTCGACGAGTCACTCTCTATGTCCTTGTTCGATGGGCCACTGGTCCACCGGGTGTAATCGTGATGGACGCGATGGAAGAGGCCTATTCGCCGTAGAAGGGCGCTAGTCCGTGCTATGCCGCCGTGGTGCCGTTCTAGGTGGCTCCTCCGAGTGCGGTCGATGACCATCCATGCTCATACGGTGGGGAGTGGACTGCCATTGTTGTTGCGGCCGATGCAAAAGTGAGAAGTCTTGGTGGGGACTCGAGGATGAACCATCGTGCCAAGTAGCCGAGGATGTGCCATTGTGATATGTACTCCGCCGGGGATCATAGTGGAGAATGGGCTGGGGATTGTATTGGAAACTCGATCGGGGATCATAGTGGTAACTGGGCGGGGGATCATAGAGGTAACTGGGCGAGGGTTCGTAGTGGAAGCTGGGGCGAGGCTCGTGTTGAGTACTGGGGTCGTAGAAAGCACACCTCCAATGGATTAGGCACCTTCCACGCCTCAATCGGCTTGATCTCGGGCACGTGAGGTCGATCCCTTGTAGCCTTGTTTGGCCTTCTATGGACCGGCGGAGGCGGGATGGGGAAATCTTTCGTCACCGGAGCTGGTGCGACTGGGGGAACTGGCGGGTATCTATGATGGTCACGGGCGCGCGCTCTCATATAGCCAAGGAGACTGTTCGCTATCCTCTGAATGAGCCCCACCTCTCGCCCCGCCGCCAAAGAATCTGCAGTACGAGTGATATCGTGTATACGCTCGATGCCATCAACCTAAATCGCATAAAATAACAACGTTAGCCATTTAAGTAGTAATAATTTGGATGACTATTTATATTGATGCTCAAAGTAAATAAATAAATCAATATGACGGAATTACTTACCAAAGCTTCGTCCACCGCACCTTCGGGCGTCATGTAACATATGGATTGTCTTCGGTATGTTTCCATGTATGGGTCATGGTACCCCATCCGCCCCACAGCTGATGCCGTCACAATCTCCTGATCTTGCCTATTATTCCACAGATTGATAAATTCTTCAAACTCCTTGGGCCAATTAGTATATCCTTGTCGGCCATCTTTCCAAGCCAATCAGACTGTCTGATCTTTGGATTCACCCTGTTTTTCGTGGTCACGGAAGGAAGCAACCCGGAACGCTTGAAGCTCATCTCAATGGGTTCCGCTATTCTAGTTCAAGACAAGATGAACGAGTCGATATTATGTTTGCTAACATCAAGCATGCACTTTTCTAGACTGGAGAGAATGAGATGATCACCCTCCTCCATTTCCATCTCCACAACCATATAATGGTTGGTAATAAAAAGACCAAGGATGTTCAGTTCTATGTGGAGGTTATGGATCAAGTGAAAAATATTGGAGGTGGAAGAAGATTCGCCTATGACCCTGACGAGATTGAAGAAGAACAAAGGGAGAAAATCAAGAAGAATAAAATAAACAACGAGTTTGAAAGCTTTGCGACTCGTGTGAATGAGCTTTGGGCGAGTACTCAGTTTGATGCTTTAGGCCTTGACTTTGATCAGCCTCAGAGATGACTCGGGTTCCACGACGTGCCTTACAATTCCTCTGCATACATCGTCCCGGCTTCAACATGCCTCGTTGAGTTGATCGAGACGCCTTTCCTTCTCATCACACTAGTAGAGATTGAGATACTGAATCTCGAGAGGTTCAGCCTGGGGCAGAAGAATTTCGACATGACAATCGTGTTCAAGGACTTCAAGAAGGATGTAATGTGAATCGATTCGATCCCTTCCACGACACTTGAAGGCATCAAGCATTGGTTGGATGCAATCAAGATAAAGTTCTACGAGAGCAGGGTGAACTTGAATTGGCGGCAAATACTAAAGACGATTACTGATGATCCTCAGAGCTTCATAGACAATGGCGGCTGGGATTTTTTGAACCTGGAGGCTACTGATTCTGAGTCTGATGACTCAGCAGAGTCGGACCAAGGGTATCAGCCTTCAAGAAGCGAGCGGGAGTCTGTGTTTGAAGAAGAGGATTCTGACAATGCATCCTTGGTGGAATCGGAAGATGAGGATGATGATGTCTCCGAAGTAGACTCGGACGACGAGAAGGGGAAGACATGGGAAGAGTTGGAGAAGAAGCGAGCAATGCTGACAGAGAGAAGGGGAAAGATCGGACATCGAGGATGAGAGGAAGCGAAGGAAGGCAAAGACGACTTTTGGGAGGTCGAGGCCTGGTCCTCCTCCTAGTTTTTTGAAGTGGTCCAAGTTGAGGTAGGAGATTTGGAATTAGCCTCCCCCCCCCCCCCCATTTATTATTATAGTAGTTTCCTTTCAGGTTTATTTATCTGCATGAAGCAGTATAGTTTTCGTCACGTTTGGTCTCTGATATAGTCGATTTCTTGTTAGGTCTTTTGACTCTTCGTAAGGTTTAAAGGACTTACGGTTCTTTTGGTCAGTTTTGGCTGGTCTTTTTGGCCCACTTCTACCGTTGGTTAGGATCTACTGAATTTCACATCGTAGAATGTTTACAATTTTGATGTTATTTTGTAAATTATTTTGTCATTGGAGTATGTAGTCCTTTTGAATGCTTATGATCATCTTCCAAGTTCTATCTTTCAGCACTGCATTTCCATTTATTCGCTACTCACCACCGGTGAGGTTAGATTGCCAAGTTCTTTTCTTGTAGATCAAGTTATAGTATGTGGATTCCTTGAGAAAATGCAAGATTATGTAGGATAAGTTGGTTGGCTATCCGTAATTGAAATGTAAAATATAAAAATACATATGTGGTCTTTCAGATACCTTCAATCTGCACAGTTTTTTATGATGAGAAACACCTTCCACGGTTACCACTTTTGATAATGTTGTAGTTTAGCCAAACTTCAGGGCCACGACCCTTCGGCCTAGGTGAGAGCAGAATGCTACTTAAGAGTTCTCTTCGACGCATCTGAGATCTACAGTAGTAGTAACTAATGGACCTCAGCAATTTGAAGGGCAAAATGGGAAGCCAGTGCTTCCTCAATTGGACATGGTCTCTCTTCAAATCCCCGTCTCAATTTCAGACAACCAAATCATAGATCGGTCCGTATCCTTGAAATAATAGCATCAAATATTTATTCTCATATAGCACAAATTCGGTCGCTATAATATTTGAGCAATTTTGCTCTTCCACTTTTGTTGGCATTTGTTAGCGTTTCATATCTTCAACAATTATAAGCGGAAAGTATTGAGTGATTTTGTAGAAGGCACATGTTGTGATATCTTGCTTTGTCCATGGAAGTGCACTTTGTGAAAACATGTATTTTCGAATCTCCTCCTATTATATTCTATAGAAAGGGTAAGATTTAGTTGCGATTAGTATTTGACGAGGTAGAATAACTCGAATAACACTCTTTCATAAAATAATAGTTAATTTCAGAAATATGTTTAAGGGCCATTGTGTCTTCTAGATCCTACTTAAACTTCTTCATCTTTGTTTTCTTTTAAACCATTTTTCTGGATCTAATTTCAGATTTTACGAGGTAATAAATTGCTATTTTCAAATAGCTGGTGTTGGTAGAAAGAAAAAAACAGAGGAATAACCGTGTTCGATCAATTTATGAAGAGCAGAACAAACTTGTGAATCGGACCCAAAATTTGGTGCCTGACCGCCTCGCCCTCTTTTGCCAGCCTAGTTATTCTGCTAACTGCATAAGTTGTTAGTATATACTAACTAATATCCAAAATGTACGAATATGTATCCAAGTCTTCTGATTTTGCTAAAATATCTAGATAGCACAGACTAGTATTCAAAATATCACAAACTAGTATCCAGATAGCAGATACCAACTAATATCCCCAATCAACCAACTAGTATTCAATATGGATACTCTTATGTGTTATCTGGATATTTTTATGTGTTATGTGGATAGTAATTATGTGTTGTATGAATACTATTCTGTGTTGTCTAGATATTAGTTTGTGAATTTGAGATAATAGTTGATTAGTGGGGGATATCAGTTAGCAAACCTTGAATACTAGTCTGTGATCTCTAGATACTTTAGTACTTGGATACTAGTTTATGTATTTTGGATATCAGAACGAATCTTCGAGTTAGCAGATTAACTTTTCCCCTCTTTTGCCCTAACTATTTACTGACCGCAAGCAACACAACAAACACGGGGGAGAAACGGAGGTGTCAAATTCCAACGCCGTACAACGCACGACGACGGGGAAACGGATGGCTATCACTGTCGGGCGGTGAGGGAGGGAGCGTTACAAGTACAGTCGTCAGTCACTCCATTTCGAGTCCGGTTTCCTTTTCTCCCCGTTTTGTCCGGCTCTCTGGTGCCGCCGACGCCGAGTTCATATTGAGCTGCGAGAATGGCCCACGGCGGCTATGGCAAGCGCAGGGTTGCTGGCCGCCAGCCTTCCGTCGGCCGTCGGTCGAAAACAATCGACAAAAAAGGCAAGTCGAAGTCCGTCTCCCTCAAGAATCAGATTCGTTCCGTGGAGCGCATGCTCCGTAAGGTACTCATTTCCCCCCGGTTTTGTTGGAGGGAATCTCGTTTGTGGTGGTTGCCCGTCCCTAGAATTAGAATAAGGGTTTGTTTGTGGGTGAGTTGCATGTCCTTACCGGAAATGTGCTTTCTGTAAAGCAATTGACGCCGGAGGTCAGGGAGGCGCAAGAGAAGAAGTTGGAAGGGCTGAAGAATCAGCAGGATCTCCACAATCGATTGGCTCTTGAGCGCAAAATATTCTTGCGAGACAGGAAGATCAAGTTCTTTGGTGAGTTGTTTTTGCTTTCCTAGTATTGGCATTTTTTTGGGAGCATTAATCTGATTTCCCGTTTGCTTGCATATCCAGAGAGGAGAAAGGTTGAAAGAAGAATCAGACGCTTGGAGAGGCAGCAGCGAGCTTCTTCCGGCCAGGCACAAGATCCCCAGGCTGCTGAGCAGCTTTCTAAGTTGAAAGAAGATCTTGAATACGTTAGAGTAAGCTCTGCTAATTTGCTTGTGTGTGTGCCCATTGAGTGTTTGTGCTTTGCAATGTGTTGTAATGTTTCTCTGTGATTGAGAGAGGAAGTGAACTGTTTGGTGAAGTGAACTCTTTATACTGAAAATTTTGCAGTTCTTCCCCAAGACCGAGAAATATGTGTCTTTGTTTTCTGGAGGTGATGATTCAGAGGTCATTGACAAGAGAAATGGGTTGCGGAAGCAGATTAAAGCCAACCTAATCGCTGCTGCAGCCAGTGGGAAAGACCTTGAAGGTATGTTTGTTGCCTAAAGTTTAAGTATGCACTGCCCCTAGTTAATACTTAATACCTTGGAAGTAAGGTTTAGGAAAGAGCACAAGATGTAGAACTGACGCTCTCTATGTATAATGCTTGATGTTTTTTTGGATAATGATGTGCAAGTGGTATGGAATATATCATAGTGCCCTGTCCCCCTGTTAATATCTCGGAAGGAAGGTTTAGAAACTAACTTAGAACTGACACTTCCGATGTATTTTGCTTGATGTTGCTATCATGCTATGTGTCGGTGGTTTAGGCTTAGATTTCTCTGCTTGTTGGTTGATTCGACGTAGGACAGAAATAGAGAAAAGTGAACTTACTTATTCTATCTAGAATTTGTCTTGTTGTTGTAGACATGTGTGAATTAGACATGTGTGAATTCAGTTTCTTTTGTTTATTTTTTTGGGTCCTCCACTTGTGCTGTCAGAGACTGGAAGTGAGGATGATGGGTTGTTGGATCTCAGCGAGGACGATTTCTTCCTAGCTGGAAGCTCAAGTGACGAAGCAGATGCAGATGATGAGTGGACAGACAAAAGCACGAGGTAAAATGTCGCCGATCTTCGTATCAGTCCTAGTTTTCCTTTACATACATTTTAAAACACTGGAAGGAATCAGTACCGATTCCAAGTCTGTACTCTGTTGGTGTGAGCTTTCTTTGATACATCAGTCTCAATGTTCATATTCCAAAAGAAGAAAACGAAAGACTAAAGCTCTTTGTTAGCTCACACTACTGAATGTTGTATTAAACAGAGAACAGGCTTCGAGTACTTCTGGTAAAGCTGCATCTGGTATGTCAAGCGATGAAAAGAATCAGGTTATTTCTTTCAGAGCCCAAACCTATGTTGTATTGTGCATTCATTGTATTGCTATGCTTCTTCTTCTTTCCCTGTCATTTGGACTCTGTTTCTCACTTTTAGCTGGTGCTGTACAGAGGGATATATCTGCTAGAGCTCTGATGCCTCCTCCTAGGCCTTCACGCAATTCCGCAGGTGGTTCCAACACAGTCCATGGGAGATCGAGGTTTGGAGCATCATCAAGTAAAGATTCGTGGAGACAGAGGGCTGAAATATCTACTACATCCAGTAACACTTCAAGCAGCAGCAGAAGTGGGCCGTCTTCTTTGAAACCCAGTGGCGGTGGAGGCTCTTCAAATGGAAGGACTGGAAATGGCACTGGCCAGAGCAGTAATGTTAGTTCTGGCTCTGATGCTCATAAGCCACGCAGGAAGAGGAAGAGAAGAAAGAAGAAGCAACAGGTATTTTTTCATTTCCCAGTTCCTTATTTCTGTATGAAGTTTTACTTCTATCTGCACATACGAACTATTCTATCTTCTCTTGAATTTCTACAGGCTTAAGTAACTTATGGGTTGCTCGATCGAAGAAGACGAACGTTGTGCATGTACTTTGGTACGTCAAACCATTTTTTTGGCAGCTGCAGGCTGCAGCTTCATACATGTGTTGTAAACCGTCGGACACTTGCTCCTATCAAACAGTCTCTTGTTGTGCTTGAATCATCATTTTTACGTTGTATCTAGTGGTTGGTTTCCTTTCGACGCAGTCTGCTCTGCTCACTGCCTTGACCCTTTCCTCGTCGTCGTAGTCCTTCCTTCACCTCTGCCAATTCGGCCAAAGCTCGCAAATAAGGATGTGTCTGTTATTGCGTCATATCTGATTTTGCTTGTAGTTGGCTACTTGAAGACGGAGAATCCGCACCGCCCTCCAGTGAAGAGTTAGGGTTTTAAGTTTTAACTGGTTTCGACTTTGGACCCTGGGGGACGGGGGTGACAATGGTGACATACTGACATCGTTACTAGTAAACCATATACAAATCTGATATCTGATAAGTCTATGTACGGGTAAATTGCAAAGTTAGTCACTAGGATTACTAAAAACGTTTACGTTTGGTCACTAAAAATATTTAAAACGTTTATGTTTGGTCACTAAAAATATTTAATTCTATTCGTGTTCACTAAAGTTAGTTACACATTTCAAGTTTGGGCCGCTTCCTCGTGCAGGCGGTGATCGCGCCGCTGGTCGGGAGAGGCTCTGATTGTTCTGCTCAGGATGACACTGTTTCTGGGCAGATCGGCTGCCCCCAGAGTATTCTTCCCCTAATCCGAAGAGTGATCGTGAGGTGCAACATACCACAAAGAGAGCAAAATAGACGGTCCCGAACCTATCGTCGGAGGTCGATGCTGATGAGATGCTTGAGGACGCGTCGAGTGAAGGTAAGCCATCATTGGAAACAGAAATCCCACGGCCATCGGCCTGGGGCTCGGGCATTGGTACGACAAGACGACTATTCAGCGATGCAGTGAAGACCGACGTGGTATATAGCAGATTTAGACTCCGAAGACGCTGCAGCCATACGTTCTGAGAGACGGGATGAGGGCTTCGAGGGTGAGAACCCTAAATGCCCGCCGATCTACTTCTCCCCGGCTGAAGACAGACAATACTGTAAGTAGTGGCGCTCAGCCATAGTGGTGAAGGTGCTCGGCCGCTTAGTTTCATACACTATGATAGCGAAGAGACTTAATATTATTTGGGCCAAATCAGGAACGATACAAGTCACATCGGCTAAGAATGGTTACTTTTTTGTGAGATTTACCAGTGGAATGGATTATGAACGAGCAGTAACATAGGGCATTGGATGGTGGGAGATAATTATCTGACGGTCCATCCGTGGAACGAACATTTCAACCCCTACAGACATGAGATTTTGTCTACTCTTGTTTGGGCTCGACTGCTCAAGATACCGATTCATTACTTCCATCCAGATGTTGTGATGAAGATTGAGAAGTACATAGGGAAACCTCTACGAGTAGACCATGCTACAAGCACGGGTGCTAGAAGCGATTATGCCCGGGTTTGCGTCCAAGTGGACTTAACAAAACCTCTCTTATCACAGTTCACCATCAAGGGTATCAAGTACTTCATTCAGTATGAAAGTTTGGAGAACATTTGTTTGAAGTGTGGTATATACTCTGATCGGGCCTGATGTTTATGTACGCAACCTGTTGAAGTCGTCGAGCCGATCATTCCGAACACTCCACAGGCGCAATGGGCTAAGATCAGGTGACTAGGGGGGGGGGGGGGGGGAGGAGTCCTTTAGTCATATGGCTAAGTGAATCTTAGCCCTTCCACCTCATTAAAATTCAAGGGCTCCAATTAATTCAATGTAATGAATGGTAATATAGTAATTACAAAATGTATTTATTTATTTACAAATTACATAAAAAGAAACGTTGGCCTTGGACGCCCGTCCACCCGCAGGGCCTTTACTGGAAATTTTCCCGGTGGCAACATGGAACTTTTGGGCCATGGCAATTCATAATAGAGAGAGAGATTTTCCGACGGGGAATTTTTCGGCAACATCGGATTGGATTTCCCAGCGACAGTTGTCATTTTGTTAGGTTTGTCGGACCATTTTGTAATGTTTTTAAGTCTGGTTTGTAATTTTGTATCAATATGGTTTGTATCGTTTATTATTACTAGTTACTTGACCCGCGCTTCGCAGCGATGATTAGTCTTTTCATATATTATACTTTACCAAAGTTTTAAATGATTATTTTTATTGGAATAGTTAATGCTTCACAATATTATATTGTGTTGTGTTTGCGGTGCGACTAAACACAATACAATATGAAGAAATAACAGACAAATTATTGAGTAATCAAGTCTATCATACTCTTATGTTTAATATATTTCAAAATTATATCACTGATCTCGGGTCTAATTTGCTTGTTCCGTTCACCATTAATCTTGTATAAAATATAGAAGTTGTTTGAATTAATAAGCAGTTTACTAATTGAGTAATAGAAGGAACTGAACTTAATTTCTCTTTCACGTTATTCTACTCGGTACGAAAAAGGCCAACTTAGTGGAGCCGGATAGAGGATTGTTTGAGTGTGTTGATCTGCCAAGTCGTTCTAAAGATTGCGACATTTCGCGCTTGTTACTTTAGAAAGATTGCGAGGGCGCTCAATTTTTTGGCTCCTTCCCGGCCGGGAAGTTCGCTTCCGGCGACTCGCTTCTACCGCTAGCGCTTGGACTTGGAAGCAAGCTACAACTACCTTTTTAAGTTATGATTCTTTTAAAGACAGTACAAAATGTAAAATCGACCAATTTTGAAGAAGAAAATGAAATAATTGAAAAATTAAAACATGTTTCAAATGATTTTTGCAAATAGCGTAGAAGATTGATCTCCAATTGAATTTGAAGATGCACATAACTTGATTTGGTTGCCTACAGTAAACAACCTTCCTCTAAAAGGGAAATGTCATGTCCAGTACAGTTGAACAGGGAAAAATGTCTAGTACAATAAAGCTATATAATTCTAAGTTGGAAAGTGAGGTAAGTTAGAGTAGGTTGCAATTTGTTAATGAAGGAAATTTTTAAGAAATCAGGGAGGAAAGCATAGCTCTAGTGGCAAACCTCAAATGATCCCAGCTCCTAAGCTACTTACAGAACCGAGAGCCAGTTCAAACAAACTGCAGAATCAAACCAAGGTTAACTCTACCTGGCCTCCAATACCATCAATGGGTAACCTACAATTGATGCGGCAGAAGTCCCAACTCCCAAGCTGCAATGATATTGGCCATGGTAGAAAACATCTCAAAATGCATGCAAGTAAACCAACTGATGCAATTTGCTAACATCATGCAGAACCAATAATGATAACCCCATCTAAAGTTGTACTCTGTCTCTATGCAAGCAGAGACAGACACGTTCTCCCAGGACAGCATAAGAAAACCTTCTCCTAACTGTACAATAAGTTTCATAATCGAGAAGAATTACCTGAGGATGCTTCTTCTGCTCCTTCGTCTTCATCCCAAATCTCTTGAACTCCTAGATATGGCTGGCTAACTAAGGGGAGGATGCGTTAACTTTTGAAAAAGTTTTTCAGATGCACTAAGAATTGTCCATGACTCAGAACTAAACTAACAAATAAATGAATAATAAATGAGAATATATATAAAGAAACCTGAGGCATAGTCACGTTTATTCCTACGATATGCATGAGTTGGTGGATCCACCTACGATATGCATGAGTTGGTGGATCCACCGTCCGACATCTATTCTTTACTTCAGGATGATATCATGGGCATTACCTTCGAGCGCCAGGTTGTGGCGAGCTCCTCCTCCCTCTAACCCCCCTGCAATTGCTTCTGTTTCTTGGCCTTGAGTGCCTCCTTGCAATGCAAAAAAAAAAATATCTAACCCTACCATGAGAAAGTAATTAATTATGATAGGGGAAAAAGTTAAGCGGTCTCCATATATGAATCTGATCTAAGATTCATTGAAAGAGAAGCAGCTCTCTGTTTCCTACAGTTTCATAGTAGGATTCCCCAAGCTGCTGAATCCACCTTTGTGGCCAGGAGATTATGTCCACGATTCAGGTCAAAGGAGAAGAGAAAACCCCATAGCAGGTGCCGTCATAGGCAACATCCAATCCCCATTCGACAATCAAATGAGTTCAGCAGCTTCCTCCGATTACTCTGCTCTGATCATCTGATCCCATTGTCAATGAAACAAAGTTTCCCTTTTTTGCTTTTAGAGAAGGAAAGAAAACGCAGAGACTATCTAAATCACTGTGTGGAGGATGTAAGGATATTTATTGGTAGCGTCGAGGATTGGGTAGGAGGAAGGAAAAGGTTTGCTTAGTAACACCAATTGTTAAATAGGTTCGGTTGTAGGCTGTCAAAACCCCTGTGTGAACAGTAATCCCGAAAATTTCTTAATGAACAGTGACTCCGAATTTTTTGGAACTTGGGACTTAATAATTCTAATAATAATAGTTTGTATGTTTTTCCATTTTGTACGTTTTGTTTGTATAGTTCGTATGTTTCGTATTGTTTGTAAATCTGTTTGTATGTTTAATTGCCCTAGTTTGTATTGTTCGTATGTTTGTATGGTTTGTATTGTTTGTAAGTCCGATTTGTATACTTCGTAATTTTCCATAATACCCACAGTACCCCTGTCATTGATTAAATAGCCCTTCCCACTTTTTAACCGTCAGATTGGTGTGTCCAGATCTAAGGGCTGAGAGGGGATTAGTCAAGTGACTAAGCACCCCCCTTAGTCACAGGATGCGGACCCCAGGTAGGGATGGCAACAAAACCCGAACCCACGGGTACCCACCCGACCCAACCCGGTTAACGTGGGTAAAATCCGTGTTGACGGGTTTTGGGTCAGGTTCGGGTTTAAACCCTCTACATTTTTCACCGGGTTGGGTTTGGATTTAGGTAAACTCGCCTCACGGGTACCCGCCCACACACATCTAATTACTTTTCCGGTATATTTAATATTCTAAACAATATATCTTCATTAAACAACTAATATTCTTTATGTTTGTGGAGACATATATAATTTGTTCTTTGTAATTGTTTAGGATGAAGTTGATATTTATAGAGTGGAAAGTGAAGAAGTTTAGTTGACAAGGAGGAAAAGCTTTCAATTAATCATGTTGTTTATAGATGGTTATCTTTAATTTTGAACAATTTGTATTGATCATTTGCGGTTTGCTTGTATGCTCTAGATTGGTGTTTTTCATATGAATAATTTGTATGAGTAAATTGATGTTAAACTTATATTTTGGAA